GGCTCCTTCGGAGGTCTCCCATCCCCTACTCTTCAGGGCCAACTCAGCTTAGCTTCTGAGATCTGACAAGGCCGGGTAGCCTGGGCCGTCATCCCGGTCGAGGCATGCTTAAAGCAGGGGAAGCATTTTCTTTCAGAGGAATTCCACATGGAGGGGGAGAGTTCAGTACCACCGTGCACAGCGCTGAAGCCGCAGTCCAGGCTCCTCCACAGTTGCTTTTTAGGGCCGCGTATCACATCAGGAGGAGCTGCGGTGGCTCAGGTGGCTAAGACGCTGAACTGCAGGCTGTGGAAGGTCGGTAGTTTAGCAGTTCGAGACCCGAGTGTGCCGCATGACAGAGTGAGCTCCCATCTCTGGTTCCAGCTCCTGCCAACCTAGCAGTTCGAAAGCAAGAAATTGCAAGTAGATAAATAGGTACCACTTTGGTGGGAAGGTAACAGCGTTCCGTGCGCCTCGGTGTTTAGTCATGCCGGCCACATGACCACGGAAATGTCTTCGGACAGCGCTGGCTCTTCGGCTTTGAAACGGAGATGAGCACCGCAACCCTAGAGTTGGATTCGACTGGCTTTCAAGCAAGGGAACCTTTACCTTTTATCACATCAGGCATTCTAGTTGCTAAGCTTGCCACCAGGCAGTGATTTTTTTTTCCTTCTTGATGATTTCCCCCCCCCCCCCCCCGGTTTTTCCTTTTTGGAGGAGGACGAGGAATGACGACGATGGGATGGGTGCAGCCGCTTTCCTGAAGAAGAAAGAAGGGGCTGGCGAGGGACGTGGCAAGTTCCTCAAAAAGATGGAGGTGAGAGCTGCAAAGAGCTGGGTGCAGCTGATATTTTAAAAATCAGGCTGGGGTTAAGGAAAAAAGAGAGATCTCTGTCTCTTTTTGTGCAGGGAAGAATTGCAGAAACTTAAGCCCTTTCCCCAGTTGGCTGGTGCTTTTCACTATTCTTCCCTCCCACCTGCAGTTGCTTATGGGTACAGATCTTTTACATGGATCGCTGGTTGATCAGGTCTTTCTCCCTTCCCGCCTTTTCCTGGCAGGATGAAGATGAGGAGGAAGAGGATTCCGATGACGACGAAGACTGGGGTTCGTCAGATTCAGAATCCGACTCTGAGTCAGACGAGGATGAAGGCAAATACACCTCGTTGGCCTCCAGATTCCTTAAGAAGTAAGAGGGATGCTGCTGTTGGGCAGGGTGGGCAAGTCACATTTGAGTGTCCCATTTGAGCATCAGCATCAGTGCGCGTACGTGAGACTGCGGGAGGAGTGTCTTCTGCAGTAGATAACAGGTGACAAGGGCCTTACGAGCTGATCTTTGGTCAGAGTTTATCACTTCTAATTTGAAAGCAAAACTCTAGAGCTGGATTGGTTCCAGAACTGAGTCACTTTGTCAAAGGACTTGGCCGGTCACTGGGGCCTTGCTGCGCTAGGTGCTTAACAGGTGGTCTCTCGGCAGGTAGGGACATTTTTTGGACCTCGGTGATAGTGGAAATGGGGAGTCTCTAGGGCTGGGGTCTGATGGGTACAGTTCTCCCCTGGGAAAACAGGCATGCAAGATGGCAGAGAGATGGCGTTTCGGGTCTGGGCCTTATTCTGAGCGTTGGCGGGGCCCTTGGAGGCTTGGCATGTTTGATCTGTGCTTGGAAACTGGCCTTGGTGAAATAGACCCCCAGATGTTCTTGGCGTGTTTAGCTGGATTGGGAAGTCTCCATGACATGGTGCATCGGCAGGAATTTGGTGACTTTATATAGTTTTGATTCAAATGAGATTTTTTAATAGGTTAGGTTAATTAATGCAGGGTTTTATCTGTAAGAGGCAAGCTGGTGGGCCTAGATTTCAGCAGCAGCTCCAGTTCGATACGTTTTGCCAGAAGTCAGGATTAGTTTCCCCGACCTGATTGCCTTCCTGTCACAGACAGATAGCAGCTGCTGGAAACTCGGTTCCTAAATTCACTGGGGCTTAATTCACATGGATGTATGAAGCTTCCTTGTACTGAAATTGGACCACTGGTCCATCGTGGTCAGTATTGGCTACACATAACTGGTAGCAGCTCTCCAGTCTTTTGGTAGAGGTCTTTCACATCACCTGCTAATGCATCCTTTAAACTGGAGATGCCGGGGATTGAACTTGGGGGCCTTCTTAATGCCGATGCCCTACCACTGAGCCATGTCCCTTCTCCCCTTTAGATCAGGATGGTGGTGTGGGGTGAGGAGGGAACTTCAGCTCTCTCCCAGACACACACACACACACACACACACACTCTTCCCCGTGCTTTGAATGGCCTGTTATTTTACTCATTATAGGGGCTCCACATGCACTGTGGGAAACCCAGCTCACAGCAAAACATATGGCTTAGTTCAGACCTTGGGGCTTCAGGCTCTCAAGGTTAAAAAGAATAAGCTTATTTTAATCCATCTTCTGCTCTCCGATCAGAACTGGAACGGAAGAGGATAAGAGAGTTCTGGAGAAGAAGCGTGAGGAGAAGGCCAAGAAGAAGCAAGACCGCAAATCCAAGAGATACGAGGACGATGAGGATGACAACGAAAGTGGCGAGTGGGAGAAGGTCAAGGGAGGCGTCCCGCTGG